GGGGCAGCTTCACCTCCTTAGTCTCCACGCTGCAGAGGGTGACGGGTGGTGTGGTGTGAGGGTGGAGCTGCATGCGCGGCGGTGCAGCCAGCGCCGCAGCATGCGCCTCATCCCGCTCCCCGCTGCGGTTCCCTCCTGGGCGGCCGTTCACCCCCGCCGCCGCATGCCCCCACCCTCACCCCACCCCACCCCTCACCCCCTGCAGCGTGGAGACCAAGGAGGTGAAGCTGCGCCCCGCCACCGACGTACACGACTACCAGGTGCGACGCATGGGTGCTGCGTGTGTGCATGGGTGTGGCTCCTTGAATGTGTGGTTCAGTGAATGCGTGCGGGTTCGTTGTGCGCGCCTCGCCCGCGCCCGCGCCCGCAGCGCGCCTTGCACAGGCGGCCCCACTGCCCGCCCTGCCTCTCCCGGCGTCAGCCCAGCGCCTTTCACCCCCCGCCTCCTCCCTCCCCGCCTGCCCGCCCGCGCCCCCCTCCCCGTCCAGGTCAAGGTCAAGGCGGCCCAGAAGTTTCTGGGCAAGGGCCACCGCGTGAAGCTGACGCTGCAGTTCCGGGGGAGGGAGATGGAGTTCCAGCAGATTGGGCGCGAGATGTTCCAGGTGGGGCATGTTCTGTAGCCAAGCCGACATGTTCTGTAGACACTAGTTTCTGCTGCCCACCTGCCCTCCTCCCTGCGTGTTCCCGTCCCAGCGACCATCCGTGCTTCCGTTCTCTCGTGCGCGGGCACCTCCAGCAGTGCTCGGCAGGGACCACAGCGCATCGCAGCACCCCCTCCCCGGGCGCGCGCCTCCACTCTCTGCCTCCACACCAACCACACCGCCCGCCGCCTCCTCCCCGCCCCCGCAGCGCTTTGTGGAGGACTGCGGCGGGTCTGATGTGTCCATCGAACAGCCTCCTCAGATGCAGGGGCGGCAGATGACCATGTTGCTTTCCAGAAAGGAGGAGAAGCTGTGAGGCTGTGGGGAGGGAGGCCAGGCCGCTGCGGCCAGCCTGCAGCCATGGTATGGTCTTTTCCCGGCGGCCCGCGCCACTGTTACGTGGCGCGGCGCACCCACATTTTTGCGCCCTTACGCAGCGCCGCCGCGTGCGCGCCCAGCTTCTGCTTGTCGCACATCACCGAGAAGAATGCCCCCTACTGTGAATCCTGCAGCATACCCTGGGAAAAGGCAGGTCGGTGGGTGTCGGCCACACCGACTCAAATGCAGGGGGGTGGCCCGTCGGCATGCCAGGGCACCACACTGTGCTGCTCCCTGTTCGCTTGAAACCGTGTCAGATGACTGGGGATCCATGGTGGCGCTGTGGGCCGCTGTCTGCTGTGACTTGTAGCAGAGCCGCGGCAGCGGGTGCCACCCAGCGGCAGCGGCAGCGGGTGCCAGTGGCGGAAGAGGCGGCCGTGGCATTGGCGGCCGCCCAGGGCGGGCCTGTCAGCGACGGCTGCCCCTTCGGCCGGGTTCAACAGGGTCCCTGGCAGCTCCGGCATCGACCGAATGCCCATCCGGGGGCTTTCTACATCTGGGGTCTAACCCAGCGCCGCCCAGCACTGGGCAGAGCTCTGCTAAATTTCCCACCGACCAGTGCTGCCCAGCGCAAGTG